ATTTCGTTGTTATAATCCTAATACACAAAAACTCTGTGTCTCGCCATATTATTTTTATGGAGCATATTCATTTTTTTCTCTATTCCGTCTAGTTCTTCATCTTTGCATAAATCTGATTTTATTTATCTTGATCCCTTTCCCTCTAATGTTTCCCCTGATTCCTATGTTGATGATATGACTGTGGCTGATCTTCCTTTATTGTCATCTTCTTCTTCCTCTTTGCCTAATTTGTCTGTTACCCGCCCTCCTATTGTGCATACTTATGTTCGCAGGACTCCCACTGTGTATTCCACAGATGTTGTGCCTTCATCTGCACCTCTTGGATCCTAATCAAATTCTGACATCGTGGATCACACTCCCCGTTACCCTCAACGCACTCGGAGGTGTCCTGACAGGTTTGGTTGGTCCAATTCTTGTTACTCTTTATATTTTTGTTCTTTCCTGACTTTTATACATTCTCTGTCTGAACCAACCTTCTATAAGGAGGCTACATTTTATCGTCTTTGGCAACAGACTATGCATGAGGAGCTTTCTGCGTTACATAAGACTCGAGCTTGGGAGTTGGTGTCTTTACCTCCTGGTAAATGTCTCATTGGTTGTAAATGGGTGTATAAAATCAAAACCCAATCTGATGGTTCTGTGGAAAGGTACAAGGCTAAATTAGTGGCCAAGGGATTTGCTCAAGAGTATGGGTTTGACTACGATGAGACCTTTGCTCCAGTAGCTAAGATGACCACGATTCGCACAGTAATTGCTGTGGCAGCTATTCATCAGTGGAGCTTATCTCAGATGGATGTGAAAAATGCTTTTCTTCATGGTGATTTATCTGAAGAGGCCTATATGACTCCTCCTCCTGGGTTACCTTGTAGTCCTGGTCATGTGTGCAAACTTCACAAGGCTTTATATGGTCTTAAACTGGCCCCGAGGGCATGGTTTGAAAAATTTTCTTCAGTTATTTATGACTTGGGCTTCTGTGCTAGTGATCATGATTATGCTCTCTTCCTTTGATCCACTCCTTCTGGTTTCATTCTTCTGTTATTTTATGTGGATGACATGATTATTACAGGTGATGACACTGATGGAATTCAGCGGTTGAAAACTCAGTTACAGGATTATTTTGAGATGAAAGATTTGGGTCCACTTCGATATTTCTTAGGGATTGAGGTTGCTTCCTCTCCCAAGGGTTATTTTCTTTCTCAGTCAAAATATGCTTCAGATGTTATTCAGCGAGCTTGCTTATCAGATACTCGAACGGTTGACACACCCTTGGAGCTCAACATTCGTTATACTTCCTCTGATGGTTCTCTCCTATCTAATCCTACTTTATATCATATCATTGTTGGGAGTTTGGTATATCTTCCTGTTACTCGTCCAGATATTGCTTATGCGATTCATGTGATTAGTCAGTTTGTTGTTGCTCCTACCACACTTCACTGGTCTACTGTTCTTTGGATTCTTCGATATCTACGGGGTACATTTCATTAGAGTTTATTATTTTTTTCCTCTTTGTCTCTGGAGCTTCGTGCTTTTTTTGATGCGGACTGGGCTGATAACTCTACGGATTGTAAATTCACCACTGGTTTTTGCCTTTCTTGGTGATTCTTTTATTTCTTGGAAAAGCAAGAAACAAACTGTTGTAGCTCGATCTTCTACTGAAGCTGATTATCGTGCTATGACATCTACCACAACTAAGATAGTTTGGTTGCGTTGGTTGCTTGCTGATCTTGGCATCTCCTTAACTACTCCTACTCCTATGTATTGTAATAACACCAGTGCTATCCAGATCGCTCACAACTCGGTGTTTCATGAACGCACCAAACATATAGAGATTGATGGTCACTTTGTGCGCCATCATCTTCCGTTGGGCACGATCTCTCTCCTATATCTTCCTTCTGCTATGCAGTTGACAAATTTCTTCACCAAATCTCACACTATCGCACGCTTTCGTTTTCTCCTTGGCAAACTCTTGATGTTAGAGTAATCTAGCACATTAACATTAGGGGTAGATTAGTCTTTTATATTACTATGTTTTGCCTTAGTATATAAGTCCATTATTGTGTAGTTTGTCTTCTCTAAGAGACTGTAATACAGACCTGGTTATTGTTAATGAATATCTTTTCCTCTTTCATTGATAAATCTTAACAAAAAGTTCTAACAACACTTTTTTTTAAGTCATGCCAAACACACTCATAACATTTTGGGCACTTTCTAATGCCTATTTTATCTAATAATGATCTTCGGTGCATCAAATATTGAAGCCATCGTTGGATAAAACGTAAACATAAACGGACCACGTGTTATATTTTTAGGTGCGACATAAGAAAGTGCCACTAGCTGATGAGGAGCTATCATAGTACAAGAGCGATAGGATTGTAGGTGTTGGATTATGCTTAAGATCAACATTGAATTGCTTCATTTTATACTTAGGAAATTGGCATGTTAATAACTAATACATGTTTGATTTGGTTATAGAATGTCAGTCTCCTCTTGGGGGGGCTTCAGCTATCAATTCTTACATTCATTATCCAGTCTTGGGATTCGAAGAAAATAAATAATGTTGGATCTTGATGTTTTGAGGAGATTAATCATTTTAATATCACACATCAAAATGATCAAGGTTTATACAAATGATTTTTTAATTCGTCTTACACTTTATAAAATTCGTGTCCATATTTTTGTATTTGTGTCTTTGTGTGATAGTTTGAGATTCTATTTGATTATTGAGAAAGTTTAGGGATATAAAAAGTATTGAAACTTTGAAGTTATGTATATTATGTTATTTGTTTTTTTGGATAAATGAAGGGGATTTTTTTTTTCTTTTTAGTTAGCAACAAGTCATTTCGACACTTTGTCAATTGAGATAAAATATGTTAGTTGAGAAAAATTGTTCATTCTTGCAATACTTTTTCACACTATCACTAGCTCTCCCAGGAGTATAACTATCACGTGACAATAATGAATGAATAGAAACACCAAATGTTCCTTAATTCTGAAATTGAAAAAAGGAGTAAAATTGAAACTTATAGGAAATACAACATGCTGAATGCATAAATATATTCATTATGGCCAACAACCCCATGACTCAATGGAATATTAGCTCCCGTCGGCAACCATGGAACCAATTTGAGCAAATGAAATCTAAAATTGATATTAAGCAAAATCACACTATAAGAAAGGTAAGTTCATTTGGATAATGAAAGAATGTATGGTGCGAAATTGGAGTGACAAGGATGCATTTAAGGGTTGATGGAAGTTTCTTACTACCAAGCAAAGTCTAAAAAATCAGAGATGGTCCAAGAGGATGATAAAGTAAGGATTACAATTTTTTTTTCAGGCGTAAAAGACTTATTAAATCTTAATTGGATCGGAGAAGAAATAGCACAGAAACAACTCCATTGAAATAATTATTTTCATGGTTCAAAGTTTTTTTATCTTGGTTTTTCATTATGTGAGTGTTTGAAGAACATTTTGGTGAGCTTTCTTTCGATATTTGATACTCAAAATAATTCATGCACAATGCATGTGTGCATCAATTAGTATTATTAAAAATAAAATCTCAAAATACTAGAAATTAGGATTTGTGAAATAGAGGCCTGTGAGAAAATGTAGATACATCTCTTTATAGTACAGAGATATCTTATGTACGTAGGTTAATTAATAAAATTTCTCATACTGAATATATCTAGCCCACACACACCCTCGAATATACCTGATTGTAATATTATATAGATATATATTCACAAATACACACTTTTGAAGGACCCTCTATCAAAATTTCAGCGGTAACTCTCCCAGCCCAAGACGTTTCTTCTTTTGTGCAGAACGCTTCCCTTCAACGCCTCTGCCAAAAACACCCATGACTTCAAAGATTTTCAAGTAATTTTCTTCCTTTTTCATCTTGTATTTTCTTCATTTTCACCTAATTTTTCGTATTTTGAGCTCGTCCCGATTTCTCCATCATCGGCGGCAACAAATTCATAGGATTTTATTTTATTTTTTTATGCAAAGCTAACAAAAAATCAAGCACAAACTGAGTTGAGACTTGGGATGAGAGATTTGGGGTCAAGGGCACCGATGGTGCATTGGCTGCAGAGAGATGTGAGTTTATTGAACTAATTTATACCAATTCAAATTTGAGTAAATTGACTCACTCAGCATCGGGTGAAATTTGGTATCTTAAATTTGGGTACAAAACTCTATACGTCAGTTCACCTCTAAACGATACACTTCTTTCTTCGATGGCAGTCACCGACTCCGATCACAAAACCCGAATCAATGGCAATTCCTAAGTAGCCATTTCCTTGGAAGGTGTCGGCGTGGATCGCATGTTTGGCGTCGTTGGAATCCTAGTCATCTCCCTCGCCAACCGCTCTATCCCCCTTTGAATCCGATTCATCGCCTTACACAACGAGCAATCAATCATACGGGTACGCCGCCCCAACATATGGGTACCTCACCGGTCGGCTGGGAATCCTCCTTAGCGTCTCCAGCACTGTTGCGTCCATGGCCTTGCGGGTCTTTCCAACGCCACCGTTAACTCCTGGCCCATGGTCATCATCTCTGACTCCTGCAATTAAAAAGACTCCGACCGCGATGATTTTCAAGAACTCGATCAAATCGCATCAGTTAAACCCTTCTCGAGATTTGCCACAAAAGCCATGATATTAAACTTATCCCTAATTGTATTTTCGAAGTTATTCACTGGGCCAAATGGGGCCGACTTGGTGGGTGTTACTTGGACTTACCCTCTGATGTGCTTCACCAAAATTGAATTGGAGGCTGATAAATTGATAACTGATGCTCAGAAATGTAGAAAGAAAGAGGAAAAAGTGACAGGAAGTGTCGGAAGATTCAGAGATTGAAAAGGCAGTTTCGATGTTGAGACAAGACAAGCAGAGTGGCCGTTGATTGTATTTGGTAAGGGCGCTGCCATTGCTAGAGCAGAGAATGAGCTTTAGAAGTTAGTCAAAAGCACTGGAATTCCATTTTTGCCAACTCTAATGGGAAAGGGTTTGTTGCCTGATACACGTGAGCTAGCTGCAACGGGTGCAAAGTCATTGACGATTGGGAAATGTGATGTTGCATTGGAGCTTGGTGCAAGGCTGAATTGGTTGTTGCATTTAGGGAAACCTCCAAAGTTGTCCAAAGATGTGAATTTTTTATTAGTTGATATATATAATGAAGAGATTGACTTAAGGATGCCAAATGTGGGATTTTGTTGGGGATGCGAAAAGGGTTTTAGAATGATTCATAAGGAGATTAATAATAAAGCTTTTTGTTTGGGGAAGAATCATCCTTGGGTTGAGGCGATAGTGAAGAGGCAAAGGAAAATGTGTCAAGAATGGAGGCACAATTGGCTAAGGATGTTCGGCCATTTAATTTTATGACACCAATGAGGATAATTAGGGATGCGATTTTGGTGTCTAAGGGGGCGAACACAATCAATGTTGGTCGGGTTGTGTTGATTCAGACGGAGCCGAGGAGTAGGTTGGATGTTGAGACTTGGGGGACAATGGAGATGGTCTGAGATATTGCATTGCTGCGGCAGTAGCTTCACCTGGTCGGCTTGTGGTTTCTATTGAAGGGGACTCTGGATTTGGGTTTAGTGCCATGGAAGTTAAGGTTTGTTCCCTTGCCAAATATTATTGTTGATTTAGTGCTAATTGATAACTGAACACTCGTGGACTTTGCCTTATTCGTTCAATTATGAATGAACATAATGCTGACGCTGAAGTTGAAAAGTTTATCTTCTAGATGATTTCATATGGATTTAGCTGGAATATTGTGTATTTAGATGAACGGAAAAGTGTGTATTTTTTAAGTATACTTTTTTTCGTTCTTTCAACTGGTTTTGATTTTGTATAGGCACCTTCTAGCTAGTTTGGGGAGTCACAATTATTTTTGAAGGCTTCAGTTAAGAAGAAACAATATGCAGAATCTAAACATCTTACCTATAAGGGATAGCAAATGATATTCTAGTTGCCAGAAACTCACCAGTCCTCGACTTTGCTAGAGGCGGGAGCATTGTACACAAGACCTTTTAATTCTTATTGCTTGCACAAAAGCATGTTGTGATGGGCCACAAGTTTGAAAACAGAGGATGCACATTTTATTGTTCAAGGTTTAAGTTGTTTGTATTTTTTTATTATTAATAATAGGTTTTGAGGGTAGAGCGCATATTTAGTTGTCATCACTTATAATCAGAATATGTTGCTTGCACAACATTCTCCTATGTTTTATAACTAGGGGTAGCCTATGTCTGAAGGTACGATGCAACGTAAACCTAGATTCTTGAGAGGGATGTAGGTGGTAGTTGGATGAGTCTATTTGAGACCGTTGGATGAACTTATTAAAGTCTACACTATTTTATATTTTAGATTATAGATACCCTATTGATTGGTGCCTATTGATCTAAGGAATAGATATGGTTACTGTTCTACAATAGACAAGTCTCATACAATTACTATCAATTTTTCTTTTGTCATGCAGCAGCTGTAATAGAATGTCGAATTATTTGAAGCCACTTAACTGGGTGAATTTCTTTTTGGCCCATGATTTGAGTTGTCCATAAGATCCTACATAGTTCACTTAACATTTCGAAGACTATGAAAAAAATCACCTTCACCTTTATCTAAAAAGTCACCTTTGTGAACCTTGTTTGTGGTATTTATGGTCACTGATCATGGCAAATTCTGTTCCTATCCAAACTAGGTGGCAACAGACATGGTTTGACTGCCAGACATAATCAATGATCACTACTTGCTTCAAATGCTTGTGATACGATATGGGGAAGTATTTTTTGATCTTTGCTACCCATGGAGTCCTGTCCCAATGGGGAATCACACCTTGCCTTACCACTTGGAACTTGCGTTTCCAGCGAAGTATTTCTGCAACCAACTAAACAACGCCTGATATTGATATCCATGGATGTAGAAATATTATAGGTCTAGCCTTTCATTTTGTTCAACATCAATTGACTTTATTGGCCTTTTGGGTTCAATAGTATGGAATGTCGCTTTGCTCTATGCTTTCACTCAGTTCAGTTTCCTCAATTATGGTTGTTATTTGATTAGTTATTTACTCAACTCTTAATTGGGATATATTGTTTTCCTGCCCCCTAAAAAAATAGAAAATTTCTTACAAGAATGTAGTACGGTGGAATTACCAGGTTTGCTTATCTTGTGATCACACTATTCTATACCTTAAGAGTAGTTGTTTTGTCCATGTGTTCTCCCAGAATGTAAATTCTTCAGACTTGTGAGACATTGCAATAGAAACTGTTTTGGCTGTTCTATTTTTGTAGAATCTTTTCACTTTTGGAAACAACAATTTAAAATAAATTGTATCTCTTCAAGGATGCATTTATTGGGTTTTTTCTTACTTTTGGCCCATAATGGAATCTGAACCACTTGTACCCAGAGAAAGTATTACATGAGAATTTCATTTCTGCCTTATACCACCTTGCTATGTGTCTCGATTTTCAAATTTGTTGGGTTGCTAGGCAATACCTGTGATTCTATTTGTCTTAGTACCCTATGAAGCACGGACACGGATACGAGACACTGATACGATACCACACGGACACGTCGACACAAATTTTAAAAAAAAAGTAGGATGTAGACACATTGGTGATACGTAAATAATATGTATTTATATATATAATCATGTGATAAAATAAAAATAGTTACTGATAATCATCAATTTTAAAAAGCCTCAATTTTATAACCCCATTTTTTTCACATTAATTTCATACTAAAAGTTTATTCCACTTGTATATAAGTTCGTATTTGTATCCAAAATTATGTTACAGTCATGTCTTATATTCAATGTAATCATTATAGCTTCTTTTATATTATGATTGTGACACATATTCCTTTAAAATTTTAAAAAATAACTTTTAATTATAAAATTATTTGAAAAAGTTCTCAAAAAATTAAAAAGATATCTCTAAATATGTCCCACAACATGTCGGCCACGTGTCCTGAGTGTGTCTCCAACGTGTCTTAAGCATGTTGGTCGCATGTCTCCGACGTGTTCTAAAAAAAATTAATAATAAAAAAATTAAATACTCATTTTAACTTGTTTAGAACGTGTCATTGTCCCAGACGTGTTTGACATCGGCACTATACGCAAAATGAAGTGCATGTGGTTCCTAGTAATAGTACCCCATCCGTGGTTCAAAGTATTAGCCCTCCGAACACGCCATGTGAATATCACGAGTATCACCTAAATTGGGGGTGACTCGGTTACAACTATGTTGTATCGTTCTGACTTGGAGTTATATCTGTATGAATCGAACGTTCACACCAGACTCAGATCGATTGTTGAGGTCTTCGACAAAATCCACAAAATCTCAGATAAAGTGCAAATGGCCAAAGAAAAAGGGAAAATGAGAAGAAAAGGATGCCCACATGAAAATCTGAAATTTTTCAACCCATTGACCGCAAAAATCACAGGCAAATTACTCCATTGGAAGACAAGGGAGTTAACAAATTGTAAGGCAAACTTCTTTGTGCAGAAGGTAATAAGTACCAGGCAACAGTGGTCTAGATCCCGCCTTCCCGGCAATTGGCTACGACTTAGAGCCTCTGATTGCATCGTCGGAGATGATTAATTTTGCAGGTGATCTCTTCCCCCCCCCCCTCTCTCTCTGTGACGATTTGTCTTTCAAGTCTCTCTCTCTGGTAGACGAGCGACCAGTCCCAGAAGAGTCAAAGGACACTCTATTTGTGCTTTTAAAGGCTATCTTTCTATTGTTTTTTTTGTCATCATTCTTTTTAAAGGCTATATTTCTTTTGTAGTTTTGTTATCTTTAAAACTGTCTCTAGAATTGTCTTTTAAAAAAAAAAGAAAAGGTTTTGGGGATATTTGTATTTTTAATCCTTTTTGGATCCTTAAAAATAAAGGTAAAAATAATTTTAGATTTAGAGTTGAACTCGGACATTAGTTTAAATTTACATTTCTTTGTATTTTAAATTCAAAAAAATTTAAAAACTAAATACAAAATTACAAAAAATTAAATATAAACTCCTACTATAAATTTTGGCTCGATGCATTATTAAAACCTTACATTGAACACTTATGATTATAAATTTTTCTTGTAGCTCCCAAATAATTAATTTTTACCATGCTTACTGTATTAGGTGATATATTTTGAACAAAAAATGCATGGATGTTGTTAATATTTTTCAGATTTTTCCATGATTTTTTAGAATTTTTTGGGCCTTTTCTCTAGCATTTTGTGCATATTGGTTGATACCATGCTGCAACGCTGCGATGCAACGCCGCTGATGTGTATTAATGTCCTCCGAGATTAGGACCGACACCACGCCCTTGTGCTCTCACCCCTTGGTTAGAACTTCGAACAAAGGGTTAGAGGAATGCCAATATTCACATTTGTTAGGGATCACCTACTCCTTGTAGCGTCCCGGCTGCCTTCTTTCAGTTAGTATGATTTATTATTTGATTATGAAGCACAAATACTTCGGTTAGGTCAAAAGTATCTATATCGGATATAATGCTCATCAGAGACCTTGTGAATCCTATCCTCTTACCGAGTATGCAGAAATGTCTTTCCCTCAGGCTCTATCCTGAGAATAGCAAAAAGAGGACGTAGACTCTCATACTCAAGTCAGTGCTGAGTCAAATAGCCATAGTAGTCATGACCTGTCATATCTCCCTCTCGAGCATATGATAACTTTTGAGAAAACTCATAAACATGAACTTCACAACTTGACTATGAATACATCTTTGATAATGCGCTCCATAGCTTTGGAATAGAGCTATGAAACTGATGAATCCTGCAAACAGATGGCTCCATAGAGCCAAATAACCATTCAAGAATAGCACAGTTCTCGGAGAACCATGCAGAATATCCAGGGTCGTCATTAACTGTCTTTGGGTGCGATCCTGTTAGCCAACCAAGCTTCCCAACACCCTAAAGAAGAGCTAAAATGAGCGTGACCACTCAGCAAAATTATGACCATTCAATAATTCTGCCGTAACCTTCTGAGAGATTATACCCGGCATTGTCGGTAATACAACTGTGCTAGTAGGTACTGTGTCTCGTCAAATATAATGGTGGGAGGGGTAATCCTGCAGATGTGGGCGGTACCTCCCAAGTGGAAGTACTAACGGTGGGGTCTCAAGCCCCTTACTAGTGGTCATAGTAACAATAATAATGTGGCAACCGTGATAGAAATTACTTTAAAATAAATAGAGGAAAAATAATGGAGAACAATATACCTCCAAATGAACAATAGCAACAAATAAAAAGGTCTAGAAAGCTCCCAAATAATAGGTGACGGCGCCAAGAAATTCAGGAGAATATATATATATATATATATAGATGATCTATTGCATCAAAAGTAGATCAACGGAGGAGGGGGTCCGATCCCTCTTAAAAGTCCCAAAATGCTTCAACCCTAGGGAAAAGAGAAGTCTACAGTGCTAGCTGTCGGAGAGAGGCACGAAGAGGTGGCAAACTGGCGGCGCAGTGGTGGATTGGAGGCGTTGCGGCGAAGAGAGCAAAGCAGCGGTCACTGGCGCAAAGGCTAGCGCCGGTGGCTAGGGGCGCCGGTGGGTGGATGTGTCAAGGTGGCGGGCAGCGGCGGCTAGGGTTATGATTTGGTTTAGGGTGAGGGAAGGCTAGGGGTAGGTTAGGGGTTAAGGTTTAGCTCTGATATCAACTAAAATTGTTTGAGAGTAAAAAGGGGTGCACAAATTGAGTGCAGAGTTTTGTATATATAGCCAAATAAGAGTGCAATTGACCAGAACACCCCTCTAGTTTGGGTAAGATATAAAAACCATAGTAAGAGAAAAAAAGGCAAAAAATAAAACCTAATAACTAGACTATAATTCCAACAAGTTCAAGTACTGGAATTCCATTTTTGCCAATGCCAACGGTAAAGGGGTTGTTGCCCCCATGTACATGAGCTAGCTGCATCAGTGGCGAGGTCACTAGCGATGGGGAAATGTGATGTTGCTTTGGTGCTTGGTGCAAGACTTAATTGGTTGTTGCATTTTGGCGAACCTCTAAAGTGGGCTAAGGATGTGAATTTTGTGTTAGTTGACATATGTAAGGAAGAGATTGACATGAGGAAGCTGAGTTTGGTTTGAGGATTGTAAAAGGGTTGTGGAAATGATTAATAAGGAGATTAATGTGACCTTTTTATTTGGGGAAGAATCATCCTTGGGTTGTGGCGATAGCGAAGAAGGCTAAGCAAAATGTCTCAACAATTGAGGCATAGTTGGCTAAGGATGTTGTGCCGTTCAATTTTATGACACCAATGAGGATAATTATGGATGTGATTTTGGGATTGGGCAGTCCTGCTTCCATATTGGTGTCTGAGGGGGGCGAACACAATGGATGTTGGTCGGGCTGTGTTGATTCAGACGGATCCGGGGGGGGGGGGGTAGGTTGGATGCTGGAAGTTGGGGGAAAATGGGGTTTGGTCTGGGATATTGCATTGCAGTGGCAGTGGCAGTGGCTTCACCTCGGGGCTTGTAGTTACTGTTGAAGGGGACTCTGGATTTCGGTTTAGTGCCATGGAAGTCGAGGTTTGTTCCTTAGTTCTTACTAATATAAATGTTCATTTAGTACTACTTGACTATTGAAAACTCATACACTGTCTTATTTCATTCAATAATGAGTGAACATAATGTTGATTCTGAAGTTGAAAAATTTGTCTTCTCGATGATTTCATATGGATTTAGCTGGAATGTTGTGTATTTAGATGAATGAAGAAGTGTGTTTTTTTAGGTTTACTGTTTTTTTTTTCTTTTCAACTTGTTTGGATTTTGTATTTGCATCTTCTAGCTGTTCTGGGGAATCACAACTATTTTCAAAGGCTACAGTTAAGAAGAAACAATATGCAGAATCTAAACGTCTTTCCTCTAAGGTATAGCAAATGATATTCTAGTTGCCTGAAACTTCCCTTTCTCGGACTTTGCTAGAGGCTGGAACCTTGTACACAAGACCTTTTTTATTCTTATTGCTCGCGCAAAAGCATGTTGTGATTGGTTGCAGCATTGAAAACAGATAAAGCATATTTTATTGTTCAGGGTTTAAGTTGCTTGTATTATTAAATTTTTATGTTTTATTAACAATAGGTTATGAGGGTAGAGTGCATATTTAGTTGTCACCACTAAAATATCTTATAATCAGAATATGTTGCTTGCACAACACTCTCCTTTGTTTTATAATATCCTATTGATTGGTGCCTATATATCTGAGGAATAGATATGGTTACTCTTCCACAATAGACAATTCTCATACAATTACTATCAAATTTTCTTTTATCACGTAGCAGCTGTAATAGAATATCAAATTATTTGAAGCCACTTAATGGGGTGAATTTCTTTTTGGCTCATGATTTAAGTCGTCCACAAGATCCTATGTAGGTCATCCCAGAAAAAGAAACATTTCGAAGACTATGAAACATCTCCTTCACTTTTATCTAAAATAGTCAACTTTGTCAAAATCTTGTTGATGGTATTTCTGGTCACTGGTCATGGCACAATGCTATCCAAACTAAGTGGCAACAGACACGGTTCGACTGCCAGACATAATCAATGATCACTGTTGGCTTCAAATGCTTGAGATTCGATATTGGGGAAGTATTTTTTGATCTTAGCATGGAGTCCTGTCCCAATGAGGAATCAAACCTGCATTACCAGTTTACCACTTGGAACTTACCGTTTTCACCAAAGAATTTTCTGCAACCAACTAGACACAGTCTGTTATGGACATCCATGGATGCAAAAATGTTATAGGTCTACCCTTTCATTTTGTTCAACATCAGTTTAGTCTTTTAGGTTTAATAGTATGGAATATCTTTTGCTCTATGCATGCACTAAGTTCAGTTTCCTCAATTATGGCTGCTATTTGATTTGTTATTTCCTCAATTCTCGACTGGGATATATTTTATTCTTGCCCCCCTTTAGAAAAATAGAAAATTTCTTACAGGAACGTGGTACTGTGGAATTACTTTGCGTACCAGGTTGTTTATCTTGTGATCACACTCTTCTATACCTTAGAGTTGTTGCTTTGTCCATGTGTTCTCCTAGGAAGTAAACTCTTCGGACTTGTGTAACATTGCAATAGTAACTGTTTCAGCTGTTATATTGGTTTTTTTTTTTTTTTTGCTTTTTGGCCCATCATGGAATTTGAACCGGTTGTACCTGGTGAAAGTATTGCATGAGAATTTCATTTCTGCCATATACCACCTTGGTATGTGCCTTGTCTTTCAAATTCTGTTGGGTTGCTAAGCAATACCTGTCATTCAGTTTATCTTAGTACAACATTCATTGTTCAAAGTTTCGGTTGAGTTCAATATGACTCGGCCAAGTCCTGAACTCGGTGGCCTCCGATCTGATAACGCAACATGAATATCAAGAGTTCTACCTAAATTGGTGGCGATCAGTTGTATCGGTTGAACTCGTAGTTATATATTCTTATGAATCAAATATTAGACACTGGACTCGGACCGAATTATTGAGATCTTTGGCAAAATCCACAAAATCTTAGCCAAAATGCAAAAGGTCAAAGAAAAATGTAAATTGAGAAGAAAATGATGAAACCCACGTGAAAATCTGCAATGTTTCACACCCTAGATCGTAAAAATCACAGGCAGATTCACCCCATGGCAAAACAGAAGAAGGATCCAAACAATTGTGAGGCAAACTTGGCCCCTTTTGTTCTACTTCGTGCAGAAGGTAGCAGGCAGCAGTGGCCTAGATCCCACCTTCCCAGCGATTGACTACGAGTCAAGCCTCCGATTGTATCATCTGAGACAAGGCATCTCGTAGGTCCTCTCTCTCTCTCTCTCTCTCTCTGTGAGACGATTCGTCTCTCATGTCTCTCTCTCTCTCTGTGTTAGACCAGCGACCAGTCCCATAAGAGTCAACAAACTCTGTGTGTGCTCCTTAAAGGTAATTTTATTTTCTCTTTTTGTCATCGTGCTCCTTAAAGACTATCTTTCATCTTTAAACTAAATTTGGTTTTTTTTTTTTTTTTGATTTTTGGCCCTTTTGGGTATATTTGTATTTTAAAATTCTTAATCCTTTTTGTTTCCTTAAAAATAAAGATAAAAATTATGTTAGATTTAGAGTTAAATTTAGACATTTGATTTAAATTTAAACCTCTTTGTATCGTTAATTGCAAAAAAAATTAAAAAAATACAAAATTTCAAAAAATAAATAAAAACTCCTACTCTAAATTTTGGCTCGATACATTCTTAAATACTTTTATTGAATACTTATGATTATAAATTTTTTGTGTAGCGCCCAAATAATTAATTTTTACTATACTTAATTTATTAGGTGATATATTTTGAACAAAAAAAATGCATGGATGTTCTTAATATTTTTCATGATTTTTCTAAAATTTTTTGGGCCTTTTGTCTAGCATTTTGTGTGTATCGGCTCATTCTATGTTGTGACGCATTTGTATTACTGCCCCAATTGAGATGAGGATTGATGTTAGAATTTAGAACAAAGGGTTGGGTGAATTCCAATCTTCCCATTTCTTAGGGATCACCTACTTCTTGTCTTCAGTGCCCTTGCTGCCTTCTTTCTGTTAGTATGATTTATTTTTTGACTATGAAGCACAAATACTTTTTTTAGGTCAAAATATTTGTATTGAAATGAAATTCATCGGATACACGAATATGCGTATCGTATATGTACAATGCATATATAAAATTAGTAAAATATTTTTTATTTTTGAAAACGTCTTTGATATTGGTATCAAATATGAATATTTGTTTGTGTCTAATTTCTAATTTCAATTTTTACCTCTAAAATTCAAGTGCAATAATATACAAAAATAAAAATTCATGACTTTGAAAACATGTGCGTGTTTTTTAGTATCAGCCATTAACACATGTCAAAAGCCACATAATAAGAGTTGATCACACCCTATCTCTTGGAAATAAGTAATTTTAAACAAACAAATTGATTAAATGTTGGCTCTGATTCTTTTATTAGCCATGTTCATTTTGTGGGTATTTAATGATGAGACCATATATGTTTCTTTCAAAGTAAAAATTATTATTATTTTTTATCATTAAAGATTTTATTGAAAACTATAATCATCACATCGTGAGATAATGGGAAAAATATGAAATATTTTGTATGTGGACGTATCTTGGCAATATGTGTGCCTATTTTAAAGTTTTATTGTATCGCTATGGTCGTATCCTATTGCATCCATTTCATATATCCCGTATCTGCATACGTGCTTCGTAGTTTTCTGGGCAAATTATGTACTTTGACATCAACATTGGGCGAAGTTTCAATATTGGCAAGTGACAGATGTCTGATCATGAGGTGCTGTGAATCAATAACCAGGATGGTGCTAATGTCCACCGGGTGAGGTGGGATTGCCATTATTTTTCCTCCAAAAAATATTACATATGTAATCGAAGGCAACATCCTAAAGTTTTGAGGGTTGGGAATAGTTTATAGTTTTCAATCACATCAAGTTGTTGGTTCTTACCCCAATTCTTCATTGATATGACAGTTGCTATGATTTTATAATTTTTGTAAGTCTGGCTCTTTGTTGTTGAACAGCCTGTGATCTTGTTATTAGATGGAAATTCTAGAAATTAATTTTTAGTGTTAGAAAAAGAATGTCAACACATGTTTCAAAGTTGGCTTAGGATGATTAGTGTTCCAGAATTGAAAAGCTTGGATTGGACATGTCAATTAGGCAAACCATGAGTAATTCATATAAGTATCTTTTAGGTGGTGTTTATGAAGCTAATTTCACTGTGAAAGCGTGATTGCTAGGCAATGGTAAGTTTTTCTTTTGCTTCTCTTCTATAAATGTTGCGTGTTTCTTTGAACTCTGCAGACATTGGTTCAATATGAGTTGCCTGTGATAGTTATAGTCTTTAACAATAGTTGTGTATATGGTGGTTGACTGGAGGTGCCCTGAAAAAATTGCAGGACCTTACAAAGATGATCCAGTGGCAACGTCTTTGTCCCTAGTGCAGGATATCATCTTCGAATTGAAGCTTGTGGGGGAAGAGGTTATCTTGTTAGGACACCTGTTGAACATAAATCTGCACTTTCTGCATCTTTTTTTTGCATGAAGCCTGCTGTCATAAACGTTACAATCGATCCAGTTGTTGGTACAAAAAGTGGGAGGTTGCAGCACAAAAACTAAGGTAAGCTGCAGCACAGCGGTTCATGGTTTGTTAACGCTTGAGTTCGTTAAATGTTTTCTGTTTGTCAAAGTGGTCAGTTAAAATTTATAAAGCCAATATGGTTGTTGCTAGCTTGTAGGTTTATGGTCATTTACTCCAGCTATACATTGGGATTAGAGAATTTCAATTCATGATACTTGACCTAGTTGATGTACAATATCAACTGACTCCATCTACCGGGTGCAGGCTTAAGCTGATTTTGTCACGATGGAAATGCATATTAGATCGTCATATTGATCTACTGTGTGTGCTTGATAGTGTTCATTATATACTGTTTTCGCTTTTTCTATAGCACCTGTAAACAGTGTATTTGTTTTGTTAGCAGTTAGATTGGTGGGTGGAAATTGGAATTGCATTATGCTCTCAAGACTTTTGGAGGCTGAACAAAAAAAAGTTCAAGTTCTTTGCGCTAATGGTTGGATGGTACAGAGTCCTTTGTTGTTGCTCGGTGCTACGCATGATACAGAGTTTTTAATCACCTTTCAGTGAACCTTAAAAGTGGGGATTCCAATTTTTTTGCGCTAATGGTTGGATGGTACAGAGTTCTTTGTTGTTGCTCGGTGCTACGCATGATACAGAGTTTTTAATCACCTTTCAGTGAACCTTAAAAGTGGGGATTCCAATTTTTTTTTAATGTTTATATTCCGATGTTACATGTAAGATAACTTGAATTATTAAGGGCCTATATAATAAATCACCAGCCATAAGCATATGGATTTCTCTCTCTCTCTCTAAAAAAAAAATAGAAAATAGAAAATGCGTATTAGAAGTTGCACATATGATTCGTCAACTTGTACCTATACTTGGAGTAAATTGCACTGTAGGGACTAGTCTTTCCTCACTTTCCTGGTGAATCAGGACATGAAATGTTATTTTATATTAGATTTTCTACCAGCTTTCTCAGTATTTTGTTAATGGTAGTGCATGTCAACTGGTACAAAAACAGAAGAGGAGCAAAAAGTGGGAGGGAAAAGGGGGAAGGGGGAGGGGGCGTAGCCTGATTTATATAAAAAAAATGTAGAGATTTGATAGCCAAAATAATTTGTTAAGTTGTACAAAAATTTAAGATAGTCCAAACATTTCAGATTTTATTTGCATTTGGGTGATTGTGGTGAGTTTGGCAAATCGATTATTGCAGTAAGGAGGGTTTTCTCCTCATGGTCAAACGCGTTATTATTGGTTTTGTTATTGCGATTACGAGGGTACAACTGTATTGTTATAATCTGAAACTTAAATGAGTTTGACCGAGTAAAATTATCTTTTCTTCAACTACAAATGTTTGTTTAGTAGCCAAATGAAACTACCCTGGTCTGCATTTCATGGGGATTGAAGTCTTTTAGGACATCAATGAATGTGTATAATCATCATTGGCTCATGTGGCAGGGATGGTAATTGCTTCCCAAGTAAGTAGTTCAATGATAAAATTGAGTTTTCCATTTTCAAGCGACTTGTTTTTTGTTGTCTACGTACAAATTCATTAAAAGGAAATTATGTTGGGCAAGTCAATCCATGAAAATTTTGTTATTATGCAATTTTATGTAATATGCAAAGAGATTATTTAAGTGACTCGAATCCATGACGTATAGTTTTACTTAGCAAAAATGCTACCCCTGTTTAGAAATTGATATTGTGGTAAATTTTTACTACAACAAAATAGACCTCAGCCAAAAGAAAAATGAAAAATTTATCACATCCTTTGTAAGAGCCAACATGCCTGGTAGTGAACTAACTCCTCCTGATTCAAAAAAAAAAAACACCAACTCCTTGAAGTTCCATGAATGGAGATAGATATGTATCACAACTCAATCACCAGGGTTTTTTTATTCAACAATTGGACCCACGCGGTTTACTTTTATCAAAGTGATTGGAATTTGGAGCCGTGCGAAATGCTGGAAGAAAATAATTGAGAGAAAGAAACAGTGAGCTATATATGGCGTCATAACACTTATCAGATATCAAGTTGGGTGGTTGTCGATTGGTCTAGTCGTCTTCCCAAGTCAATACCGCGTGGAGCCCAAAGATGGCTCACAGCTGTATGGTGTTGTCTAAGCATGCCTCTTGCCCACTCGTTTCTCTCTGTAAATTTCCCAAACATTATTGGAACTCATACAGACAGTGTTTTGTTTCCTTTCCATTGCAATTTGCAATCTTTTCCATTGTTGAGTTGCTTCAGGATAGAGTTCCTAAATCAAAGAGAGTATGGCAAATACACTTGTTTCTGGCCTTGCCAACACCATCTTGGGAAACTTGAGTTCTCCGGCACTGCAAGAATTTGGGGCAGCTTGTGGCCTAAAGGATGAGATCCAGAAACTTAAGAGTACTTTCACTGCAATCCAAGCTGTGCTTCAAGATGCTGAGGCTAAGCAAACCAAGAGTAAGGCTCTGCAGGATTGGCTGAGTAAGCTTAAGGATGCTGCTTATGATGCCGACAATATATTGGATGAGTTTGAGACCGAAGCTCTCATACGAAAGGAAGACCGTCAAAGAGGTGTGTTAAACCAAATAATTGCCTGCTTCACGCATAGAAATCCTTTAGTATTTCGCTTAAGAATGGCTCATAAGGTGAAAGATATAAGGGAGAGATTAGATACCATTGCAGATGAGAGGGATAAGTTCCACTTGAAAGAGGGTGTTACAGATTCACAAGTTTATGACATGGAGAGAAGGCAAACCAGCTCCCTTGTGATTGAGTCAAAAATCTACGGTAGAAATGAGGAGAAAGAAATGATAATTAAAGTGTTGCTTGACAATTCGAGCCATCAGAATGATCTCTCGGTTTATGCTATATGGGGTATGGGGGGGCTCGGCAAGACCTCACTTTCTCAGTTGGTCTACAATGATCCAAGGGTAAAGACACACTTTGAGTTGAGGATTTGGGTGTGTGTATCTGATGATTTCAGCATACAACGGCTGACAAGGGCAATCATTGAGTCGATAGAAGGTGGTGGGTGCAATATCTTAGAGTTGGATCCACTACAGCTACGCCTCCAAGAAAAATTGAGTGGGAGGAGATTTTTACTTGTGCTGGATGATGTGTGGAACGAATACCATGATAAGTGGGATGGACTCAAAATTGCACTAAGGTGTGGAGCGAAAGGTAGTATGCTTGTGGTAACCACTCGAAGTGAGGAAGTTGCTCGTATGATGGCTACGCTTCCAATATTTAACCCGAGGTGTTTGTCGGAGGATGATTCTTGGATTTTATTCGAGTCCCGTGCATTCGAGATTGGAAGGAGGGAGGAAAACTTGGAAACAATCGGCAAGGCAATAGTGAAGAAATGTCGTGGGTTGCCCTTGGCAATAAAGGCCCTTGGAAGCCTGTTGCGGTTTAAAAACAGCACAAGTGAATGGTTACGTGTGAAAGAAAGCGCAATTTGGGATTTAGCGGATGGTGAAAATGGTATCTCACCTGTCCTAAGGCTAAGTTATAACAATATATCTCCATCTTCGAGGCAATGTTTTGTTTATTGTTCAATATTTCCCAAAGACTATGCAATGGAGGTGGACATGCTGATAGAGCTTTGGATTGCAAACGGCTTCATTCACTCTAAAGGAGAAACAGATCTGTATCGTATGGGCCGTGGGATCTTCAATAATTTGGTTTGCAGGTCTTTCTTTCAGGATGTCAAAGAGGGCTACATGGGTCGCTTGACATGTAAAATGCACGATCTGATGCATGATCTTGCAATGTCTATTATGATACAAGAGTGCTATATAATAGAGCCTGGGAAGGAGCTGAAAATTCCAGAAAAAGTTCGCCATTTATCTTTTTATGGAGCTCACATTGGATGGTTCCTCGATGTGAAGATGTGCGAAAAGTGCAATCTTTACGCTCCATTGTAGTTCTATCATGGCACATGAACGGGAAGGATATTGCTACCTACATCTCAAAACAAAGTAATCTGAGAGTGTTGGAGTTGAATAACTGTTACTTGAACGAAGTACCATCTTCAATTGGGAATTTGAAACATCTTAGGTACCTCAACATGTCGAACCCTTGGATAAAAATTCCGAAATCAACGAGTTATTGTGAGATTCATCCGTTGCTCAGTTATAGGCAAACAATGACAGAACATGGGTCAGGGTGGTATAAAACTGAAAAATTACCATCTTCAATTGGGCATTTGAAACATCTTAGGTACCTCAACATGTCGAGCACTGTTATCAAATCCTTACCGGAATCAATGACTTGTCTGCAAAATCTACAGACATTGAAGCTGAAAGATTGCAGCTACTTCGTAAATTGCCCAAAGGTATGAAAAATTTGAGAAATCTTAGATGTCTTGACATTAGAGGATGTGATTCTCTTGTTTGTATGCCTGCTGGACTCGGGCAGTTAAGAAACCTACAGACTTTAAGCATCTTTATTGTGGGTTCGGACCGTGGTCAACAAATAGGCGAGCTGAAAGAATTAAATCTTAGTGGTGAGTTGACCATCAAGGGACTCCATAATGTAAGAGATTCAGAGGACGCAAGAAGTGCCAACTTAAAGAGGAAGCAGGATCTTTGTGCTTTGATATTGGATTACGGGGATATCAAGACTGACAACTTACTAGATAATGATGAAGAAATTCTTGATGGTCTCCAACCTCATCCAAATCTAAAGAAGTTGAGCATATGGTCGTATCAAGGCTTGAAGTTTCCTAATTGGATGCTAGATTTGAATCTGATTGAAATCTCTCTAAGATTGTAAGAGATGTGAACATCTTCCACCTCTCGGGAAACTACCCTCCCTCAAGGTTCTTTCTATTGTTGCAATGGATGCTTTTAAGTGTTTCAACAATGACTGCTATGGAGATGGGGAACAATCATTTCCAGCACTGGAAGAGCTCATTTTCCGTGATATGCCTAGTTTGGAGGAATGGACAACAGTTGATAGAGGAGAAAATTTTCCTTGTTTGCGGAAATTATGGATCCATGGATGTCCCAGGTTGACTGAATTTCCTTGTCTTCCATCACTTGGGAAATTAAGCATAGAAAACAGCAACGAGATGCTATTAAGGTCGGTGATGGATTCACTTCACTTTCGTGCCTTGAAATATTTAGTTTTGATGAGTTGGAGGTTCTTCCAGATGGACTGCTTCAAAATCACAAGGTTCTTGAGACCCTATGGATTAGTAGACTACGCAATCTCAAGACCCTGTCACATCAGCTGGATAATCTTTCTGCTCTGAAAAAATTGACAATTAATTTTTGTAATTCTCTCGAGTATTTACCAGATGGACTCAAAAACCTCAGATCCCTTGAGACACTCGAGTTAAGTTGGTGTGACAGCCTTACATCCTTACCGGCGACAGGGTTACAAGGCTTGTCTTCCCTGAGATCATTGAGCATACAGAACTGTAAGGAACTAAGTTGTTTATCTGAAGGAGTAAAACACCTGACTGCTCTCCAATATTTGATGATAATTGGTTGTCCAGAGATGACGTTTTTGCCCGAAGACATGCAACATTTAAATGCTCTCCGAGCACTGTATATTGGAAGATGTCCACATTTGGAGAGGCGATGCGAGAAAGAGAAAGGAGAGGACTGGCCAAAGATAGCTCATGTTCGTGAGATTCATATGCATCTGACGGAGCAACCTTGATTGATTCATATGGTTGTGGTAGCCAGCAGCAGCTTGTGGAGCAGGCAGATAAAAATAAACTTTAGAAGGTAAATTTCTGTGACTTCCTTGTTGATGTATTATTTATTTCTCCCTGCAATTGCTCCTGCTCTGCTCTGCTCTTGGGGTCAAGTTATATTATAGCGATCCTAAACTCCCCCAAAGCATTGTAAAATATTTATTTATTTATTATAATTTGACTTCCAAAAAATAATAAATTTCAGTACATTGTTTGTCTTGTATGTGGTATGACCGAACAGCCTACAAGGTCTTGTTTGTCGCCGGATGCGTGAATGGTTGTAGGGAAGCCGGACAAACCAAAAAAGTTTATTCTGGTTGAGGTTGCCAGATTCTCTGGTGAGAGAGTAAGGGCATGTTGGTTTGCGTTTTAAAAAATAGTATCTAAAAATAATTTTTGAGAAGAGTTTTAAGAAAGTGGTTTTAATATTTTTTAAAATAAAAAACTTATTTGGTTAGATGATTTCAAAAATAATTTTACAATACAGAAAATAGTAAAACATGTTTGGACAACCTAAATATATATTTGAACAGTAATTCAAACATTAATAAAAAAATATAAAAAATTTATTTTTAGATTAACAATTTCATAAAAAAAAAATCAAAAAACCAAACTTTAAAATATATATATATTGTTCACCTTATTTCCAAAATTTTCAAAGAAAATTATAAAAACAAGTTGCACTTGTTTTCTGTTTCTTTGACTCAAATCTAATTTTTTTTTCAAAAATTTAGATAACAAAAATTCTAAACAAACTTGTTTTTGGTGTTTTTAAAATTTTGATAACAAAAAATTGATTTGGAGATGCTAACCAAACATGACCTAAATTTTTGTACCTCTATGGGGTTAGTTGGACTTGGAGAAACGATCTCAGCTATGTAGTTACAATTTTTTTTTTACTTTTTTTTTGGGAGGGGGGGCTGAGGGAGGAAGGGGGCTTGAACCCTTGACCTCAAGAAGGTAAAACCTTCACAAGGTAAAGAGTATCATTGAATCAAAGACCCATTGGTATATAGTTACAATTAGGTACTCTTGATTGATGCATTTGTGTGTTTGCTCTTCTTTTTTTTTGGTTCATCTTCATCTTCTTTTTCAATTTTTTAGGTAAAATTTGAGTTGGTTACAATTTTCTCAATTTGTTCATTTTTGGCTTCAATTGTTTTTGATCTTATGGTCTTATTTATGAAAGAAACTATATTTTTTATTTTTTCGGTGAAAGTATTGCATTGATGGAAAAATTGGACATTATAAAGAAACTCAAACATTCCCCATCGTTGGATTTTCATGGACAGACAGTCATTGCTTTTTTGGTTCAGTACTTCTATACTTGAACTTCGATTTTCCCAATGCTCACAAGCTCCATTTTTGTCTGTGTCTTCACTTACCCCTCTGTTGGGTTCTAATGTTTAAGCTGGACCCGAGGAACCTTGGTGCTCAACTAGACTAGTAGCAGCCAGTATGTCCCATGAGGTTGCATATAACCCATTGACTATTTCTAGTACTAGTGTCTCAAATGAACTAGGATTCTGGTTTCCACAAGCAGCTCAAAGGGCTTTCTGGAGTACAATGTTTTTTTGCATTCGTAAAGCCCATCACTATTGTTCTGGGATATGCTTGCAGGAATGAGGAGTTATGCAATGTATTGCTGTAATGGTTCCTCTGTTAGGTCTGTCAATGTATTGCTGTAATGGTTCCTCTGTTAGGTCTGTCTATTCCCTTACAGCTTACAAGCAGTCCTTTCGCATTAGTCATAAAACACTATTCTTGTCCTGAATTTCTTTTGAGGTGCAAACATATACTTCAAACTGGGCTAAATTATCGCAGGTTCCCTAAAGGGATGGACTTGCAGTCGAGGTAATACATGTGTGCACAATTTATCTCTCTTGTTTGATGAGTTAGGTTCAAGAAGTATGTATAGTTCTCTTATAAGTGCCAAGAACTTTAGGAAATGACCATTTTGCAGTCTGAATAATGGAATTGTATTACAACTCATAGCCGAGGAGAATATTTCCAGTAATTTCCTTTACATTTTTTGAAAAAAAATGGTGTTAGAAATAAAGAATTAATTTTAGTTGTTAGAACTTATTTGTCCTTAATTTTTCTTCGAAAAATGACACCTTTAATAGTGATATCTTTTTTGAAACAGAGGTAGCTAGAGCAAGTTGGTGGCAGCATATAGATGTCTATGTAAATCTCGTGGGGTTTTATTTGGCCGGACTTACAGGACCTATTGTCATGGGTTTCATTCTCCATTTGGATGGGATATTGGGAGGATCTATTGTAAAATCATCTCATCTCATAGCCCGTTTCATAGATTGTCAAAAGAAGGTTCATGATCCTATCTCCCCTCAAACTTTACTACTAACTCTTTTTTTTTTCTTTTTGGTTTTCCTTCTTTTCCTTTCTAGCAAAAGCTCTGTCTGCCTGCCAAGAATGCCATGGTAACCCCCAAAAAAATAGGAATTTCTGAATCGTTGTCGATATTTTGCAGGCAACCAAGCTACTTGAGGGTAGATCTTCATCATGAAATGCATTGATTGATTGCTTGCTGCTTCTTCGTAAATTTGTTGAAAAGTTGTTCAAAAATGCTGTTGCATCTGATACAATTGTGAATCGATCGAATTTATTCTATAAGCATGTCCATTTCCATTTGTATTAACTAGTTGGTGCACACGTGCGTTGCGTTGCACCTAAATTATATTACACCATTTTTATTTGTATTAACTAGTTGATACACACGTGTTGTATGTATGAGAACCATTTTGACTTAAAATATTATTCTAAGCTGTCATTGTTATCCAAGTTACAACCAGTAGAAGAAATAAATAATTATGTCTGTTGTGTTGGAGATGTCTGACCAAATATAAGCAACTGAGCTCCTTGGTCAATTCCTTCATTCTGAGTGTAATAGATTGAACTATCCTAGCGGCTAGATTATATAATAAATTTAAAATACTAATGACTTATATTAGTAGACTTATATTAGTAGAAATGAGTTCTCGTAAAAAAAAAAAATAACTTTTCATTGTCCAAAAAAATTGTACATTTAGTATTTAAATAAAAGGGAAAATTTGAGTCACACTTTTTCTATTTTACCATATTTTTAAGGACATTCCCTCTATTATCCAAAACATCACTAACATCCCTTCTAATTTGTATTTAAACATCACTAACACCCCCTATCGTTGAACCACCATTTCTTACAAATTAAAATTTATTTTTTTTACATAATAACAGTGGAGCCAATAAAAATTCAATACAAGTTGATTAAAATTTTATTCAATCCAATTGGCCTAAATTTTAATATCTAAAAAAATTCATAAAATAAAAAGAGTTTCATTGAAGATATGCCTACCTAAAAAGAATGTGAATGAAATTTTTCCTAAAATCTATTATGGACAATTTAGTAAAATTGTATTCTAGTTAAGGTCTTCAATTTGATAGGGAGTGTCAGTGATAATTCAAAAAATAAAAAGATACCCTTGCAAATATGATAAACTAGGAGAAGTGTGATTAAAATTTTCCCTACATAAAATGATTTCAATTGGCCCAAAAAATTACAAGGCATATGAACAAAAAAAATCACACAAACAAGAAATTTTTTATTGAGTAATGCTACATAAATTTAAAAACTAGACTTAAAAATTAGACTTGATAATCTTAACCATTGAATAGGTAGTGAATCTCAATAAATACTGAGACCAACAGTGAAATCAATGGTTGAGATTATCAAGTATAATTTTTAAGTTCATGTAACATTACTCTTTTTTATTTGAATACAAACTGTAGAATGCCTTATATTTGCTCTTCCCAATATAATAAATGCACATCATCTTAAAAACCAGAGTAATTTGTAGATCGATTGTTTGCGGCAGAAGTCCATAAAAAATTGAAAATTCATGTAACAACTTCAATTTGTAGATCCAAAAATGTGGGAGGACAAAGGGTGAAGCCCAATTATTTGATTTTTTTGTCTTAGTTAATTGGACGAAGATAGTTTCAATACAACTTTGATCCATAGCAATTCTGATTTCACAGAAGTAATCCTTTAGGATCACATATCTAGTCTATATCCTAGAATAAGTGGGCAATATTGAAATATGAAGTCAAGCAGAACTATGACTCCTAAAATAGGCAGCTATAGGCCTCCTTTCAATGGTTAGTCCATAGCCATTAGAAGCATACAGCTATCCACATCCTGGTATAAAGCGTAAAAATGATTCAACAAAAATCTTGCGAAATAGCTATTTCCGATTCTCTGAATAGTGCTGCCAATGCCTAGGCAATACCTATCCCTTGTGAGCTTGGCAATGAGTTGATGAAAAATGAAAGGGAGAGAGAGAGAGAGAACAAATTGAACTAACCATACAAAAGAGAAAATTTAAGAATAATATTCACTGTTATGGTTTCATGGCCAAGGTTTAATGTATGAAATCACAAGGCAGGCAAATAAGTAAGCAAAGGTCAATAAATTACGGTGATGAGCCTGCATTTGGGTTCACTTTTCTTTGGCGTTCTCAACAGAATTATAGATCAAACCAAAAAACCAGTTGATTTACCTCCTACAAAAAGGGTACTGCACTTGAACACAGAGATGGCATCCGGAGCTTTCACCTCATATATCCTCCACGATTTCTCCTCCAATTCAGCCTAAGTCATTGTTCCAAATATCACGAGGCCATTTTGAAATTTCTTACACTTTAAGATGTTGGTTGATCATTAACTTAATATAGAATTTGCTGCCTTTCGCCATTTTCGTACACCATGATCTTGTTGGTCAAGGTTATCCTGCATACCGAGAGAGTATGTCAGCAGGTCATGATTGTGTTAATTTAATAATTCTAACTAAAAGCTAAAGATGCAAACCGGCATATAATTAAACAAACCAATACTCACAAGTTATAAATCAAATAGACCTGCTATAAAAACAGGTCATGATTGTGTTAATTTAATAATTCTAACT